TTGCCTTATTGCAAAATACAAAACTTGTTGGTTGCAATACGAGTTGTATCATGTTCTCTATACATGGACCAAAATTTTGCCAAAAATGCCTCCAAATTATCTAATATTGAATCTTGTCATTCAAGAAAAGATGAAAATTACGATAGTACTGAAATTGAAAGAAGTGTACCAATGAATCTAACTTGTGATCATGGGATTGGATAGCTTTGAGGTTGAAGTTCAATCACAAGTTGTACTTGATTGATAAATCCTCAAAATTTGTATTTTGTACTATCAAACTTCTCAAAGAAAACAACTCTTGATTTTCTAACACTTGAAGGATGTTCCATCATGGGTGGAAAGACATTATTTGGTGCAGATGTTGAAGCAGCTCTAATCATCTCTATATCCTCACTTCCTGCCATTCTTGTTGATCTTTGTCGTGGTAAGCTAATTGATGCATCGCAAGTATCAACTCTCTCAACTGCTCTTACATTTGTGCCATTGCACTCTTCATTTCAACAAATTCTACCATAATAACACTCAAAAAATATCTAATACCACTTAAGATAAGTAGAAAAAAGGACTTGATGACAAAGAAAATAGTAATAATAATATCAATTTAGAAGAGGGTAATCCCCAACTTCTAATATGCTTATGTCTTATCATGAAAAAGAAGTAATCTACTCTTAATCAAGAGAAGACAAAGTTTTGATATTGTAAGTATACTCTTATCAATTTGTCAAGGACATGAACTAAAAGATGATGCATAAACCAATGAAATCCATGTCAAAAAAAGAATAAAAAAAAAAAATAAAAATAAAAAAAAAAATGTATATTAAAAAGAAATTGAAATGGCTTATTGCTAAAAGACAAGAAAATTTGAGACTCTTAAAATTAGACTAGAAGCAAGAAAAGAGTTGGCAAGAATAAAGAGAGCTTTACTCTTGTCTCTATATATACTATTTAAGGAGGGGCTACGTGACGATGTTCTATAAGACCTCCAATATGTATTGATTTTGTAGGATACATACCTTAACTTACAAAGTAAGTTATTTTACATATAGGCCACATAGTTAACTTGGTCTTCCAGCTAACAACATATGTGGCACATGACCAACTTATTGACCACTTTTCTAATCCAAAAAGTCAATTATAAACACTCATAAAATCAAAGCAGTATCTATAAAGCTTCTAAAAAGCTTTTATAAAAGATATTATAGAATTAACTTACTTTTACTTACTTCTACTTACTTCTATTTATTTATACAAGTAATTACTGACTTACATGTGTATGTCTGTGACACCAATGCTATCAACCTACATCTATCCTATACAAATAAGATTTGTAAAAAGATAATATATCTTTTTGCAAATGGTACTGTTGGCTTAAGAATCAATCCACTAAACCAAGAAAAGCTAGTAGGATATAGTGATATTACTAATCGACTTTGAAAAAACGTACAACAAGATCAATTAAACCTTCTTCCAACAAGCAATGAAGAAATTGGAATTCTTAGAGGAATAAGTGAAATAGACAACCGCACTATATTAAAACGCCTAACTGACTATCTTAGTGAATGAACATAAAAGTCAAAAATTCACATAAGAAAAATCGGTCAAACAAAAGTGTCCCCTAACACTTTATTTATAATTATTTATATCAAATGTGTTGTCACGCATGATCAACGACCCTGCCTATGCAATAGACAATCTTTTTCTCTTAAACAACAATACCAATACTTTGCATCCAACACAAAATTCTACTTCAAGGAAATTTTCAATAACCTCCAATAAATATTTGAGATTCTCGAGCTATTCTAAGCAGCCTCAAGAGCATTAATCAACTTAAACAAAATAAGGGCTTTGTGGATTAGCAACAACCTAAGGCCGTAAAATTGGAGGAAAGATAAAGGTCTCATATGGCTCCTTTGGAGTACATACACCAAATATCTAGGCTTCATCTTTGAAGATGAAATAGCCCAACATGACAATGATGAAGCAATCATGCACCAAATTTGGACAAAACTAGCACAATGGTTGAACAAAAAACTCTCCCAAGGATGACTTGATCTTGGATGCTCAAGTAAAATTAGATCATATTCAAGAACATATGGTATCTGGCATCATGTCTTCTACTTGATTGACGTTGTTGATGACATAGAGTTTTGATGACAATAAGAGCCCTCATCTGGAACTTCGTATTGGCAGGGGACAGGAACAGGAAGACAAGGGCCAAAGTAGCATGGGACATAGCAATTGCCTTGACGATCAAATGAAGGATCAAGATATTCGACCCACTGGGCCAAACAAGAGCCCTTGTGGCCAAAATGATACCAAGCGCCCTAGTCCCGAGAGAAGAGCCCTGGAAATCACTCATCTTGTACTGGATCTAGAATGCACAGCTCAGCAAAAACGAAGACTATAACAAACACATGGGTTGGATATTCATGGCCCCCAAAATATGGCCATAAAGCTCCTACCTTTGGTACGCAATATGGACTATGTGGGCATCGGTCAGGAAGGGACTTACCAAAGCACTTGCTACCTTGCACGCCAAAAAGATGCACCAGCCCCTATTCTTGAACACAAAAATCACCACGGATGATAATGTTAGCCTATGAGCAAAGGCCAACTCAAGGTTCTGCACATGGTCTATCAACAACGTCAATCAAGTAGAAGACATATGAAACAACCATCTACACAACTGGCAGACCGATCAAGCACCAAGACGCAAGACGCGATCCAAGAAGTTCAAATTCTCACACATTGCACATAAAGAGGTAAAGTAGAACTTCACGCAACTTAGCCCCCCGATCGATGGGAGATGGGTAACGTCGAGCAATGAGGCACCGGTCTACCACATAACAGGAAGCGGACCCAAAAAATGGAAGGGCTCGCAATATGCAAGAGCAGCCAAAACGAGCTAACTTGATAAGACCAACAACCACATGACGGTACCCGTAGACCCAACAGAGGAAGCAAAGATATTCGTAAGGAACCAGTTGGGCAAGGCGGTGGAGTTCAACCCAACTGACCACCCAGATGGAACTTGCATAGTATGGACGCAAGGAGAGAGCCTCACGAAAGGCCCCAACCCAAAGAAATGGACGTGGCACAAATAAGGCCCGATGCCGACAGAACAATTATTCAACTACACTACAAAGAGAGGATACAAAACCATCCTAACACAGCAATGCAGACAAATGGAATTCCGCAAGACCATGGCGAGCCGAGGCTTCTCCCCTGCCCAGCAAACACAATACTTTGCCAAACTTTGGCACCCGTGGCTCTCCTGCAAGACATCCGCCATTGTGTGGCTCTTGACCACGGAGGGCCCTCCCCATCGGGGAGTGGAGGCGCAAAATACAACAAGACGCCCACTACAGCCTCTGCACCGGCCGGATCCCTGAAACGGCAGAGCACGCATTCTTTGCGTGTCCACAAGTCACGCTAGCCTAGGAAAAATGTGCGACTGCCAAGAGGCTCTCAGACTTGACCACCCCCAACACCATGTAGGAGATTGCACTCCACGGCACCTTCCCAACCCCAGCAGCCAACAACACGAATGCACATGAGTTAATTGCTCGTGCTCCATCTCCAAGAACACACCCTGGGACATCCTGCGATACGTCATCATCTGGTACATATGGTGCCAAAAATGCGAGCACCACCTCAGGGAAGGGCGTTTCTACCTCGGGCTAGTACTATACTGAGCGTGGAAGACTACAGCCTAGGTAGCCATGGGAGCATGGGCAGAACTACAGAAATTCAAATACTGCCGCTCACCCGAATGCCATGGCAAAATGGAGTCCAAATTCACGGCGATATGGGTGCAAGGGAACGTCTTCTGCAAGGCAGCACACCCCCCCCCAAGTGGAAGCTGATCCTCCACCCCAAATTCCTCCCTAGGGTCCTAGCCAGCCGACTCCAGACCATCCCAACACCCATTGCAAGCCGAACGCAATCGCAAGAGGAACCCGAAAATAAAGCCTCACCTCAACTAGGCGCAGAACGAATCAGACAACCAATGGCCCAGCCGCCCCCCAGCCCTCCACTACAAGACGAGGACGCCAGAGAACAACTCGCAAGGGCGATGGCAGAAGACATCGTAGCACAGATCATGTGTGACATCGAACACTCAGAGGAAGACCGGTCTTTGCAAGATGAACCGGACGAAAGCCTCGAATACATGCCAGCACACAGCGCAGACAACCGAAAGAGACCCCGAGGAACAAAGCGACCAGTCGCCAAACATGAGACTAGTCGCCGAATATGAGCTGGAACAATATTCGGCGGGAGCCGGACACCTGGACCCAACAAGACACGAACAAATACCCAGACCCAATGAGGAGGATATTCGGCCAACCGCGGGACATAACACGTAGGTTTCGAACTAGGAACCCCGCAGCGGGCACCCTCCGCGTGCCAGCGTGGGCTTTTTAACCCGATGTAATTTTTAATTTAATTTACTTTCAAAACAAGCCGTTTCGGCACATTTCAGCTCAATTGGATAGAGCTTGTGGCTGTTAACCACAAGGTCGGAGGTTCTACCACTCCTTCTAGCGCTAAGGCACCTCCATGTACTTGACGTTCTGCAAACCTGCAGGGCCACTGCAATCCTTCTTCCTAACGCTTTTGAGCTCCCTCACAAAATTTGTACATTGCGCTCTAAATTTGCATGGGTTGGTTACCAGAAATATTTGGCTTCAAAACAATCCCGTGTTGCAACAACAAACCTGTTCATAGCCTCAGAGGCGGTATACTCACCGAGCTGATAATATTTAGGATTATGGGTGATCAGTGGTCAAGCCAACAATGCTTCATAATAATCAGCAATCTTTGTATAATACCAAGACATATGAGATAAATGTTGAGTGGTTGTACAGGGATGGGTTAAGGAGGCTGGAATTGTCATCCTTGCGAAAGGGATAACCACTATGATTGCTGACATCGCAATCACTGGATTACTATACAGGGCTCGAGAAAAAACCAAAGATGGTGCATGGGAAGTCCTCTGCTAAAAATTGAAGACTTTAATCTGAAATCGATTTCTTTGTTTATGATGATAATATACAAATGCAAATTGCACTGCACATAAGCAGGAGATAATTCAGTAGTAGTGACTGAATCACGTCAGATCATATATATCAATTTCTTGGATCTATATTTCTTGCAATTTCTGCAGCTCGCAACTGCAGAACCTAAAACGTGGCAGACAAAGCGGATACAAAGATTCCGTATAATTACGAAAGCTCAAAAAACTTTCTTTGGAACCTGCAAAAAATCTCACAAACCTTCTATGCCGAGAGGCTGCTCAGCCCCGCCCCAGGAATGCAAAAGGATATGTTAGCATGTTCTGCTCTGGATCCAAATATCTATGTGAATTAAACTGATGCACATAGACAAGGATCTACACTGCTCATGGTTCAAGACATACCAATTGCAGGCACCCCACTATTGCATGGAAGTCCTCTGCAGAAGGCTTTTGAAAACAAGCCCAATCTTCATCACGCATCAGGATTTCACGTACTTGTCCACATAACCCTGCAGTCACGAAAGATCCAATACACTAAGTTCTCACGATCAATCTCATTAGAAGTTTGGATCAATCTCATGTTGGAAGAGAAGTCATCAACACAAGTCCCAAATAAAACTTTGAATGCAATTACTGGGAATGAGGAACATCGTGAAAAACCTCAACAAGTTTTGTGATCTTTGGTCTCGCATTCTCCATGTAAACCGCCACCTTCTCGTCAGTGTTGGGAACTTGATGCGGCTTGATAACGCTGAGGACCTTATCAACAGCTTTCTTGGCTATTGTCTTGAAAGCCTCTTTGCTCATCTGCCCTTCCCGCCATGTTGGCTTCAGTGTCTCTTTCACATGATCTGCCACTGCTGTTCTAAGAAGGGTCAAACCCCTAATTTTGTGATCTTCTTTATCTCGTTTATTCCTCTTATCTGCTCTTTTATCACCTTTATTGGTCTCATCTCCGCCACCTGGACTCCAGTTCTGCGGTTCTTCTGGGGCTGGACTTACACTCTCAAGGCCCACACCAGGTGGATTATCGTGCTGCGATGAACTAAAGGTTGACACGGTCATTGCTTGCTGCGGTACCGCCGAAGCGTTGCTTGCATGTGCAACAAGCGCTGGACTTACGCTCTCCATTACCAACCCTGGACCAGGGCCCGGGCTTACATTCTCCATGTGGTGGTGGCCAGGTAAGCCTGGACTAACACTTTCTAGTATGACATCATCCATGTGTCTGTTAGTTCCGTTCCCACCATTGCCCTTCCATTGATCCATGCTAGATATAGAAATATTTTCTTGTCCACCTTTTACTCCAGCGTCCGCAGCAGTGGGACGTCCTAGCTCAGGACGATCTGCCATCATGTTGAACTGTTCTCCTGATTGACCTACCTGCGTCTGTTGTGGCAACTGATATTGAGACAGAGAGTTTGTGTATGCAGTTGGGGGAGGAGGTGGCAACCCATAATTCGACTGTGCTCCTGTCGCCTGGAACATGAAATGCCACCTCTCAACTCATTACTTAATTGCCAGGCACGTATGATATACAATATGCACAAAAAAAGAATACGAACGAATATTGAAGATGTACACATAGCAGAACGGGATACTGAACAAATTAAGGTTGTCATACAGATGGCATGCATCAATATTGCACCTGGACAGGCTGCCCAGTATAGGCCATGGATGCTGGTGCCGCAGTTGATGTTGTCTGCCATGTGTAGCCAGGCCTACTTGACGGAGTCAAAGCCTGACCCCTAAGTTGAGGAAGATTCGCAAGGCCGCTAGAAACTTGTGGAGGTGCCAAAGCTGGCTGTTGCGTTTCGCTACCTCCATAGGATGGTTGTTGACTCATTGACGTGTGACGATTTTGATTGGTTGGAGGAGGTGGTGGCAGGTTGAACCCGGGCTGAGAAGGGGGATAACCCATGTAGGATTGTTGTGGTGGTATGGAAGCGGATGAAAATCCTTGCGAACGAGGCAATGGCGGTGGAGGGGGCGGCAGCTGCGCCAAAGTGGGTAAGCCTCCAGGGTCTCCAGGATATGGTGGCTCACTTGGTTTAGCTCCTAACTCATTTCCATAATCACTCACTGGCGAGGTTTCAGATTGTGCTCGAGGCATCTCCTCCAAGGATTTCCTCGATTCTTTTTTGTAAATTTTCTCCTTACAATCGTTAGGCTCCCACCCTCTTCGTGAACGTGATATATCTTCGCCCCAGCCAGGTTTACTACTGCTACCACCATGGATACGACCACTGTCGTGACTTTCTTGGCGATCGACTTGCCTGCTGCCTCGTCCTCCACGACCTCCACCCCTCTCATATCGCCCTTCATTGGTAGATTCGACTGCGACCTCTGAATGCGCAAACCGACAACCATCGCCTCTTTTGCAGCGTCCCCGGGAAAAATCAAGACATTGAGGAGGACCTCCACCACGGTCACCTCTTCCGCCTTTCCTTCCACCGCGATCACTACGATCTTGGTGTCCTCGTTCCCAACCTCTCGCACCATCACCTCCGCGACGAGAATCCCGTCCATGAGGTGACTTACTTCGGCTCCGTCTCCGTCTAGGTGAACGGCTGAAAAACAAGTTGTCCATACGAACATCTCAAAAAACACGAACACCTCATGTACTTCAAATCCTTCATAAACTTCGAAAAAATGATTTGCATTGAAATAAATTGCAAAACCTCAAAGACCTACCAGAGAGCCTTACATAAAAAGATAAGAAGATACAGAAGTAGAGGTGTAGATGCCAGTGTGCTCCAAGATACAAACTGGATAATGATGCTGACATGGTAACATCTAATCTAAGTATCCTAGAACTAAATCTCACCACGAAATCGCAAGTGCACCCTTGACTTTTAACTCTGCAGATGACTTAAGTAAGATACGTGAAGTTACAAACCTGCGTGAATGACTCCGCCTACTGTGCCGTCGTGGAGACCTACTACGACTGCGACGTCGTCTTCGGTTATCTGATGGGGACCTGCTCCTACTTCCACTTCCATTCCTTCTTTTCCTGTCATTATGAGAATCCTCGGCATCACTTTCACTTCCCCCAGGCCGTACAAACCTCCCAAACTCATCAACCGTTGGTGCCTTCGAACCAGGGTCTGGTTCAGAAACATCTCTTTGTTGCTTCGATATCTTGGGAGATCCGTCTCGGATACTTAGATCTACCAATGTTGATGGGGAGTCCCTAGCTCTCCTATCATCTGAATCCTTCATTTTCCTGTCCTCTGATCTAAGTATAGATTCCTTCGTCTGATATCGGTCCGGCTTTGTCGGATAATCTGTAGAGTCCCTGTCCTCCAATCTGGAGAATGTATCCTTCAATAGAGAATCTTTAGCACCTTTGGTTTCATGTTCACTATCATCATCCCTCTGAGGGGTGACTGCTTCCAACCTGTCACCCAACTCTGACGTATCAACCTCCTTTACAAGTGATCTGACAGGATCTTGTTGAAAAGTATTGTTTTGTGCGTCAACAGAAAAGGAGGGTCTTCGTGACGAATCATGGAGAGGAGTTGGATCTTGAAGGCCCCAGCGAGAGACACGAGAAGAGGTTTTACTTCTTTGTACTTCAGCAGCCGCAGAAGAGTCTAGGACTTGTGGCTTTGTTTGTACAGGAGAGCTAGATACTGGTGTCACATCTTCCATACAAGGTCTGTCGAACCCTGTACGACGTCTCGTGTCTGAAGGAGGCAAAACACCAAGAATTCATAAAAGAGTTAAAAGAAAAGACAGTAACAATAGAAAACAATTAGCTCAGGATCGTGCCCGATACCGGCCAGGAAGAATCAACTAGTACAAATTATTAAAAAATAGATAAATAAATATCCGGTTAAAAATAAAAGTCTGTAAGTTTGCGGTTACGGAACGGGCTTGTCCACGCGAATACAGGCTCGTACAAACACAGAGAAAATATGTTGTAGATTCCATTATTGCAGTATTAAAGATTACCTACTGAGGGACTAGAAATAAGGTGCCAGACGTTATAAATCTGCACGTAAGTGTAAGAGGGCTGACAACTAAGAGCATGAAAGATCAAAGTTTATACAATTGACAAGATGCTCAAGGTCTCTAAGCTGTCATAACTATACCTTTCCTCTTTGGTAATTCATCATGGGCAGTATCCAACTGGGGTCTGTTGGAGATTGCTGGCTGAGAAGGCACTTGGGGAGAAGTTCGAGAAGCTGTTGCGGAATTGCTCTGATGAAGCACACTAAGAGGGGTAGGGACTCTGGGGTTCTGTGCACCTTGTGGTCTAGAATTGGTCTCCGTTCTTGATGATGATGTAGGTTCTCTCTTAGCATGTAGGTTAGATTCGGATTCCTGAACCTGATCACTTTTGATATCTGCGGCTTGAGAGGGTTCCCCAAAATCATCTGCACAACATCAAGACATGACAGACATGAATTGGCTCCTTTGGTTCAATAAATAAAAAGAAACCTCAGGCCTTGTTAATTGAAAGCAATGTGTCGGTTCTCTTTATATCATCGCAGAAAGGAAGGATACAATACCTACCAAAATAAAACATCGGATTCCTTGTTCAAACAAAATACTTGATCAACTAAATAAAATAAAGAGTTTCTAATCAAACACGGTACGACTTCTATGCTCAGTATCCACAGGCATGTGATGAGCGCGCATACCTTCCATGTTCATGTCAGATCCGTCAGGAGAAAGAGGAGCTTCAGAAAGAGGACTATGAGTATCTACTTTGGATTCATTATTCGAATGAGGCTTAATTAGAGCATCTGCTGGTGAGTTGGCTGCGGCTATTAACCATCTCTTCTTCCACTCATAGTAAGCCTGGCCGAGGGCAGCATCCGAGCCGGGTCCACCACCGAAGAGAAATCCGAACTTGGGGTCGTTAGCCTGCTTCTGCCGTGCCATATCCTCAAATTGGGGCCCATTTTTCACTACAAAACTAGCTAAGATATCGATATTCTTCAGCATCTCCTGATCTTGTGGTCCCATGGGTCGCTCCTCCACAACTCGTCGTTCTGCAGCTTTCAGTGGTGATGAAGGCATGCGATCAATTGCTGCACTTCCAGGAGGATGGGGTTGAGGTTGTCCATCTCCAAGTTCTGAACCAGGATAACCAGGATACTGACTAGAAAAATGTTGCGAAGGTCCAGGTGGGGGGACAAGAGGACTTCCTCTTCCATGCATGGAAGGTGGAGGTCCAAATTGACTTGGTCTTGGCATTGTGGAACGAGGTGGACTAGGAAAAGATGGTCGTGTAGTGCCTTGGGGGGACTCTTGTCCCGGCCCTGGCCGAAACATTTACACGCTTACAAAAGAGCTCAACTGAATGGCTCTAAATTTATTCTCAAAAGAATCATGGATAACTAAATCAATGGCCTGCACGACTCATCGCATGACGTTGCTGCCCATCCTCGTACACCGAAAACACCAAATCTGAGCACAATGAATATAAAGCCGTCAGATATCTTCCATCAATCACCGATCACCATTAGGGACGTGCTTTCAAATTTAAACAGAACTTTCCCCCTCACTGTCAACATTACAGTTGCAAACCCCAATCAAGAAAAAACTGATCCGAAAATTGTCTACAAAACATGACGCCGCAATCCTTCGTCGGTTCGTAAGATAGGTTGCCGATGGTCTCGAAGTAACATTCACTATAACTTGCAGGCAGTAACATACCATAGATTCTGTAATCACGTGTAGGAACAATCATGGAACAGCCTCCGATGTAGGTAACTATCTCTTTTCCGAACTATAGAAGCAAACAATTATTCTAAAGAAAGCAACTAAAAAAATTGGCAATCATAGAATACCAATTACCGCATTGAGATGATTTATACACATGGAATCATGAAAAATACTAAGAGCAGGCGCCAAAGAATAAAACTTTCCAAACAATTAAGGATTAAAGGCTGTAAAGTTACAAAAAAGCACATTCGGTTCACTTAAATCCCTAAAATAACGACGAGTTGACTATATCCGAGGATGTAAAATTAACTTAGAACAACATATGACATAAAACATAAAAGATCAATCTAATCATCCTTACTCAAAAAATAGTTCTAGATATCAGAAGGTTGTGCAGTTGGAATACGATTGGATGCAAGTCCTGGCAGGATGAAAGCGAAACCTTTCTTCCCAACATTCTTACTTATCCCAGATGCTTCTTCTGGAAAATGGAAGAAAGAACTGATCAATCTGCAAACCAAGATAACTCAATAACACGATGTCTACATTGATGAGCGACTTAATCAAAGACGGGCCTACTCCAGGCAGTTCTCACAAAGTCGATGCATCGACGTACATGGAGTGGCACCCATTTGGCTGTCATAATCACGAGATTTGATCATTTTCTAGCACCAACAACCAGAAGATGTCAATGAGTCAAAGCATACTCCACAAACTATCTTGCTTGTTTTAGGGAGAACAAAACGAAAGAAATTGCAAATCAGCTCGTTTATCTACCAGTTGTCTTACTTAAATCTGACGTTGGGGCACAAGACCAGTTGCAGCACAAACAGAGCATGAGGAGAAAAATATTTTACTCGTTCAAACACACTGCGCAGCAACATGTAGAACCCAGCTTTTCAGTTCCGCAAAAACTTCATCCAAGAAAGTGCAGCACATAGTCTCCAGTAAGAAGACTACGTGCAAAGTGGCCATATGGGAGAGGAACCCTAGACCTTCGCTAACGTTTAGTACCTCTTAGAATTCTTCTGTATGCGTGGGACACTACGAATGCCGCATTACATTACACTCTTCTACCTTTACTGCGCCCACACTTAGAAATTAACCTTGGTCCTGAAAGACAACACCAAGCTGAATACATTTTCTCTGAGCACAGAGAAAAGAGTCGGAGAGAGGACTCAAGTGACCGAGAAAGTGTAACGGCAAAGATATATCTTCACAATCACTGGAAAATTACAATCCTTTCAGCTGCCGAGGAATCACACGATAAGGCTTACTGAAGAATATCAAGCAAACGCCAATATAGGACGAGAAAAACGAGATGAAGCTTGCTGATCCTCCTCTAACCACGAGTAGGGAAGGCAACCAGGCCCCCGCATCATACAGAAGCATTCGAACATCGCTACAACAGCACCAATGCACCAGTCATGGATCCTCCAAGTGTGCCAGGTGCAGTATGCAAACAGCTTCAGCGTCTAATATTCACTCTCTCACGCGCTAAATAACCTGCATTCATCACAACCAACTCACGAATTGCAAAATCGGAACCACAGCTATCCCAACGCCCGGAATCATAAACCAAAAAAAAAAAAAAAAAAAAAAAAAAAACGGCAACTGCAAAGAGCGTGAATCGAAGAGGATTCCGCAGTCCGCTTACGTCTATAATGATCGACAAAACCCTCGCAAAAAAAGTGACCAACTGTATTCCGAAGCTTACCACATTGGAAGCTATGGCGCCGCGGTTGAGGAAACCGCAGCAAACCATGAGACAGCATCTGGAGCTAGCCAAATGGACATAATTCTAGCGACCATGGACACCGCCATCGCTCCAGGATATGACCTAAACCTCCGAAAACGTTCTCCAGCGACACCACCGTGGATAGGGGCTCCAGGGCCCTTGTTGGACGGCGCCCCCACCTTTCTCTCCCGCCCGGCGGTCGCTACCCCCCTTTGGCATATTTCTTGGTTTTGCCTCAGATTAGTCAAGTCTACTCTCTTTCTTATTTTTATTTATTTATCCATTTTTCTGTTTATAATGCATTATTTTTTTATTTATGGTATTAATTTTGAATAATTGTAGTATTAGCATAAGTAAATTGAAGGATATATATATATATATATATATCCATGCTTAGTGATCTTGCAGTGCTACTCTTCACATGATGTTCATGCAGTTTTTGATCATTAATTGATCAAAAGTTGAGTTATTGCTTCACTTTTGGAGGAAAATAATAAGATGTGCAGCCAATCAAAGTTGCTTTTTGTCTCTTCTAATTTATCATGTTGATATATCACCTGAGTTGTTTTATATAAGATATATACATATTAAAATAAAATTATATTTATAAGTTTATAATAAGATAATAATAATAATAATAATAATATTTGTTGCATTAATTTGAATAAAAAAAACTAATCAATATTGTGAAAGAAATATAAATAAATTATCTATACATATTTTTAAAATACTTAATTAATTAACATATTTAAAGATATATTTATTTATTTATTTAATTCAAGATTATTGATATGATAATAATTATTATAATAAATAATCTTACAAAATATACTATATGTGATTGAAAAGTTGAATAAATAAAAATATTACTATTTTTATACTTTTATTAAAATATTTTTTATTTTTATTCTTTTAATATTTATACAATTTAATGCTACTGCAAAAAAAAAGTTAAATATTTTTATTAAATTTGAGTTTGTGAATTCAAACTAATAAGCAATAATTATCATTGAACCTTATTTTCAAATTGGAAGTAAGTTTTTTTCTTAAATAACATGTATTATATAACAAGGCATGGATAGAATGGTTGTATTATTTGCATATAGAGATATGTAGTTGGAATCGTTTTTGGGAAGCTTCTAGAATTGAAGTTAAGATAGTGGTTCATATGGGATCCACCATAAAACCTTCTAGAAAGGCTTAAGGTGGTTATTGTGATGGAGTCCACTTCTAGAATCTTTTAGAAAGGCGGTTATTTTAGTAGATCTACTATTAGGGATATTCTAAAAAGTTCTAAGATAGTTGAATAAAGTATAAACATGACTGACTGAGGCTATTTGGAAGATTCAATTAAATAAAGTTTTAGATTCTTTTTCTTAATAAAGTTTGATTTTCTTATTTTATTCTATTTCATTCTATTCTCTTTTACTCAATTCTATCTTTCATGTTCTATTTCATTTAGTTATTTTCAATTTTGTTCTAATGTTCTTAGTCTTATATTGATTTGAGATCTTTATTATTATAGATTTGGTAAGGTTTTAGATATTAAAATATTTGGTCATGTTTCATTGGTATCAGAGCAAATATTAGTCTATTCTTTGGTAGTATGCTAATAGCCATCGTTTAGTTGGAAGTCAATTATTGTGATCACATTAGGTATTATTTTGGAGCTACAAGGAGTTACTTTAAAAAGTCAACTAAAAGAAGAGAAGACATTATAATAGCAAAATCCAGCAAGGAAATTACAACATGGGAGATATAGCAGAGTAATCCTAGATGAAGACTCAAATATAATACCTCTTAGGTTAGATAGCTACTTTGCAAGGACAAATTTGCTTTTAAGACAAGAAAATTGACATTTTCTAGGCTCAAATCAAGATAGCCCGATATATACTTAAGAACTTTAAGGTAAGAAGATATATGCCAATAGCTCTTCAGCATGCAATAGTACCTCCAATTATCTAGGGCAAATACTAGCGAAAGAATTATATATGCTTCTAATTATTTGAGAGATACAACAACTATTTGGTGGCAACATGAAGATCAAAGCTATACAGCTCAGGGCCGATTTGGTGAATAAGAGGAGTTTGAAATCAAATTTAGGAATCAATTTTGGTCCACAAATACGGAAAAATTAGCACGTGATTAGTTGGATAACCTCATCTAATGTAAGTCCTAATGTCTTCTGATTTAAGTCCTTATGTTTCCAAATTAACAACGTTTTAGAGGCAAAGATGATAGATTGATTTGTACAAGAATTGAAATGTGTGGTCGAGTAAGAAATGGAATTAAAGGATCTACAAACGTTTGAAGAAGTGGTTAGAATTGCAAAGAGGGTCAATGTTGTAGATTTTAGAAATTGTAGAGTACCGCCTATAGTATGGGCTCCAATACCTCTAGCTAATATTATAGCACAACAATCAATGAAAATTTATGTTCTATAAAGACCATTGATATTACAAAGATGATAATTATTGGTACAAAAGAGATTGTGCTTTTATTATTGGGAGCTACACCATTAGATCAAAGATTGTCAAACATGTCAAAGTTCAAAAAGGAATTGTGCTTTTATTATTGGGAGCCACACCATTAGATCAAAGATTATGTAACATATCAAAGTTCAAGCACTAATAAATTATGACAGATTCACAATCTCAAGGGCTACCAAGTTAGTAAAGAAGTAGAACACGAAAACATGGCTCTTTAGTAAAGTTATTGAGGGCAAGCACTAAAGATAGTTAGTATTTTTCAGAGACAAATGGCAAGGCTTTGGACAAATATTGAAAAGATTGATTGATGTGTTTAACGGATCAACTAAGAAGATAGCTATGTCAAATACTTATAGATTGTGGTTCTACAAAAAATTACATCTTGACAGCAATTGCGAACTTGAGATTAAAACAAAGATGATTAAAAGAGGGAGTATATACCAAGCAGTTGATCAAGAGAACGTATTGAGTGAAATAAGTGAAGAAGAAACCTTAAGGCTAAGTAATACATATGCCTTGAGGGACAAGTTTAAAATAAAAAAGCTTAAATATATAATTATCTTTGATATGCCATAGCTAGAGGTGGAAAATAAACAAGTCAATTCACTAGTAAGAATAATTTCTTTCAAAGATGGAAGATGCATGGTGACTCTTTGTGCTCTTATGTCTAGTAGGATAGCAAAATGATTTGTGGCCAAGAGCTTATTTATAGGAATGATCTTTATGAAGAAGCAAATATAGCATAAGAAACCGGTATATGTGATGGTTCTGAATCTTACTTCAGTGGTAGAAAAGATAGCTAAAAGAGTAGAAGGGGTAGAACAACTCATATATTGTCATGTGGTTAGATTTGCAATCTAGGAATATATAAGATAGCTAATTATAGAAAATTTATATTTAATTTATTGGCTAAGCTTCAATAAGTGATTTATTCTACTTTTAACTTATATATAAAGTCTTGTCTCTCAAAACCTCTTTATTTTGCTTAAAAGCTCAAAATATAATAAAATCCTTTAAATTTATTTTTTTATTTTTTCATTTTTTTAAAGGATTTTTTTCTTCAATATTTATAATCTTATATCTCTTTATTTAATTATTTAATTTCTTTTAATTTTTTATATAATATAGCTATTACCTTCAAGCTCTATTACAAAAAAAATAAAATATAAATTTACTATCAAACTTTTGATCTCTTTCATTAAAATTCCAAATTTTTACCAAAATCATAGAAAAAATCTTGAAATTGCTAATCCTAACCTCTAAAGTTCAAATGGCCTTAAAAGAGTAATTCTAATTCCTAATAAGGCCTTGGACAACCTCCTTGAAATCCATTGGGCATGCCTTTTTGTCAATAGCAATGGAGATTTTCATCATCTATCTCTATTCATCTATATAGATGCCCTAACTATTCTTTTTGCTACCAAAACCTCTCTCTATTTTTTTTTTATATAAGATTTATATAATATATGTCTTAAACATCAAATAATAGAAATAAAATAAAACTTCAAGGGTCACCAATATCTAATAAATGTGACTTTAAATATATAAAAGTAACTATCAACCAAAATTAATCTTAAAAGCTACTATCAAAAAAATAAAGTTATATAAATTCTAATAGTAGTTCTTTTAAACAACTTTTTTTAAAGTAGTAATCTAACTACATTCTACAACTAATTAAAATCTACTAACATGGTTCTTACTATGTTACTTTGTAAATTATATAATAAATATATAAATACAATATTTTTATATGGTAGCCAAACTACAATACAATAATATGAATATTGAGATGTTTTTTCAACTAACTTATTTAATAGCATACCACCTGATTGAGATACTCCCTTCCAAATAGAACTGGTTCCTAGGGCCAAATTAATCAATCAGCCAATTTATCAACTAGCACCAAATGAACTTAAAGAATTGCGAAAGTTATTGAATGAGTTGTTGGAAAAAGGCTTCATTCAAGAAAACACATCACCATGGGAAGCATTTATACTCTTTGCATGCAATAAAGATAATGGACTTTGACTTTGTATTGATTATCAAGGTCTCAATAAGAAAATTGTCAAGAATGTATACTCACTTCTATGTATAGATGATTTTCTTGACCAACTTCAAGATGCAATTATCTTTAGTAAATTAGACCTTTGAAGTGATTATTAAGAAATCCCTATTGCCAAAGAAGATATAAAAAAGATGGCATTTTGTATGCACTATGGACATTTTGAATGGCTTGTATTACCTTTTGGCCTCACCAATGCTCCAACTTCTTTTAAAGGTCACATAAACAGATTATTTTGAAACCTTTTGAATAAGTATGTAGTTGATTTCATTCATGATATCTTAGTCTATAATAAAACCTTTAAGGAGTATGAACAACATCTATGGAAAGTACAATATAAGTTACATGACAATTTTTTTTATTGCAAGCAATCAAAGTGTAAACTTTGGAAGTTAGAGGTCATTATTTTGAGGCATGTGGTGTCTTTTGGAGGCATGCGCATGGAACAAGATAAGATGAAGGCAATGGAGGATTGGCAAACTCCCAAAGATGCTCGTGAAGCTTGCTTCTTTTTAGGATTTGTTGGATATTATTGCGTTTTTGTTTGGTAATTTGCA